GGGGGGGGGGGTGTGGGAGGATCAACAAAGTCCCACGCTAGGTAGCCTAAACCTCCCCGATAAAAACCAGAACATCAGTCCGGATAGCTTTGCAATCATCGATGCATTTACATACCAGGATATCCCCCCACCAGTCCCAATCTCTTCTCAAGTTCATTCTCAATCCTCCCGAACGAAGACCAACTCCACCACCTCGCGCCGCACATGGGACCAACAACCCACCGCCCCGACGCACACCAGCTCCATCGCCAGCCGCACGGTGCGGAACCACGAGGACGCGAATATGAGCCACACCGACTAGCTCTGGAGTAGTAGTCGGAGATCCCCGTGGCGCTGGAGGGCCCCGCTCCCGTGGCGGTCGAAGTCGTCCACCGCCATCGCGAAGATCCTGAGTGGTGTTGGGGGGGGCGGGATAGTACCTGTGTCGTCGGGCAGCGTGAGCGTGAGCGTGGTGTGGGAGTGGGGGGCTTCCGGGGCGGGGCTCTGGCTCAGCGCTAGGATGGCCCCGCCTAGGTGGAGGAGGTAGTACAGGAGGAGGAGCCCGTAGACCAGGACGGCGAGCGAGCAGTATACGTCGCGGTGGACGCGGTGGCGGAACCAGCGGGCGTAGTGGCGGTTGGTGAGGCAGCGCGCTTTGTAGAGGACTGCGGGGATGGTGATCCAGAGGGCGAGGTGCATTTTGGGGTATGTGGAGAGGTTCAGACGGAGGTTTTTGTTGCGGTTTTGGTTGTTGGTATCGAGGATGGTTGTTGGGGGTTTTGAGGATGAGATGGTCTTGAGGATGAGTCGTTGTAGGATGAGTTGTTAAAGGATCAGATGTTGAAGAATGAAATGCTTATGAGGATGAGGTGGTTATCAAGCCAGTTACGAGGAACGTTGAGGATGGTTGTAGAAATACTTGTGGAGAGAGTGGATGGTTGGTTGTGGTGTGAAACGGGAAGTTGTAGGAAGTGGTGATTGTAAGTTTTCCTTCTGAGACGATGACTCCTGAGATAAGAGATGGCCATACTTATGGTCAGATCATGAAATCAAAGAGTTCATGGGGACTTGCTGAGCTGAAGATGTCCGCTTGAGGGTTTCGGTCGTGGAGGTGGGATGAATGGTTTGCTCAAGTTTTTCGATGAGCATGAAGGGAGCTTATATGGAGTCGTTTCTCGGTTCTGTTTCTGCATGTTTGCTCGAGATCTGCTGGGAATCTTCAGCCCAAAGTCTCCGTGAACTGATCTTAGTTGTGGTTTCCGGAAAGCGAAGTTGTTTGCAAGAAGACGAAGCATCCACTATCGAATTTGATAGCGAGTCAGAGGAATTGGAGGTGTTGTTTCAGGAAGGAGCAGGCTACCTTCAGCACCCTCAATCTACAATCATAGGGATCAGCTGGGCTGAAAATGTTGGAAGCCGCCATGCCTGTGTATCTTGTAATTAGTTGCCCAAGGAGACGAAACCATCGAACAATTGATGGCTGTCGAGTCTGTCCCTTCTGAGTTGTTCAGGGTAATCCGAGAGGACATAGGATATAGTGATCCATTCTACATACGGGCAGCGATTGTGACCTCAACCTTAGAGTATTCAAAACCACGATTTGCATCTCAGCATACTTCCGAAGCCGATACATTGGGTATCTCCTATAACATAGTGTCGCATCGATGGCACTTGCTATGAGTTAGGTATAGTCTGGCCTGAGGCACGCATCACAGCCGGTACCGGGCTGATCTAACCAACCAAAACAGTTTCTGTCCCGGTCCTCAATTTCCACATCTCCGGTTCCGGATAGCATCTGGCTGCCATGCTAGATGGCTTGCTTCCTCCCGATGGTCTATGAATTATAAAATTTTGAATCAAGTCATAATTTCACATATATCCTCATAGGCCCTACATAAAGCTTACCCGTGACTAGTGACCATGCTTCTGGTTCTGGTCTAGTCTCGTGATCGGACTCGACGTGTCCATCCGAGTATATAGAAAGAGCACGCGCATTACCTTCTGGTTTGTGCAAGGCGGCATGCTTGTCAACTAGCCTCATCTGGCATACACTCGACTGAGCAGCTAGAAGCACTCATCATACCTACTTATTATCGAACTGTCAAGTTGACACCTCAGGGGGCCGCACTGACCCGGAGATTAGATATGGCATTATCTCCGGATGCTCCGCCGGCTAACCTCGCCCGCCGACATCCTCAACATTCACAACACCACCACCATCATCCCACGTCGCGTCGAAATCTTCGCAGCCTGACACAGACTGTCTCGTCAGTCATGGAGACACCATCAGACACGTGAGTATGGCTGAGCTAGTCTTTTGGTTCATCTAACAGCAATCCCAGACCCGCACTCAGACGGGCCAAAAAAGCTTGCACCGAGTGTCGCCAACAGAAAGTATGATCGCTCCATCGTTCCTCCGCGATCCTGCTCATCTCGTATTTTGCAACAGGCGAAATGTGACGCTTACATGAACCCTGATCTCCCATGCTCCCGCTGCATAAGGATGAAAACCCGTTGCGTCATCTCGGACCCATTTCGCAGAGAACACAAACGCCAGTACGTTGCTCAGTGGTTGGAACAGAACGACCAAGCTCTTATAACTTGTATAGACGCCTCTCTGAACTTGAACACGAAACCGATGAATTGCGCCGGAAGTTGAGACGCTCTCATTCCGAATCGCTGCAGCAGTCTCCCATCGCCATGCTGACAGCAGCGGCGGAGATGGGAGTACACTCCACACCGACCGCAGGGCACCTGAATCTTCCTCCTCAACAACACACCACCAACCCCTATCACTCCCAGCTCACACCCCAAATGAGCCCGACTTTATCTTATCCCCAAATGGAAGTGGTGCCAGTCGAGGTGTCTGACCCTACAGAGCCGCGCACCTTGAAGAATGTCAAACTCACAGGGGCTGAAATCGACGAACTGTTCCGACTGTACGTGGTCAGATCACTATAGAATGGTAGATTTGAAACTGATCTCAGGATAGGTTCTTTCGGGATTATGCGTGCTTTTTGCCAATCTTAGACCCTCAAACCAGCCCGAACGCCTACCACGCCCGGTCGAATTTCCTTTTCTGGGCCATAATCGGCGTTGCGTCGAGATCATACACCGAGAATCCCACGCTGCTCATGGCTGTCTCACCCAATATCACCGAGATGGCCTTGCTCTCGGTCACATCGACCGCTCCCGCCTGGCACACCATTCAAGGGTTGTTGCTGGTACTAACTTGGCCTTTCCCGAAGGAAATCAACAAAGCAGATGTGATGTTTCCGCTGAGCGGGATGCTCCTGCACATTGCAATGCAGAATGGATTGCACATCCCTTTGTCGAGTCATGAGTTTGCGAAGAGAAAGATACCTGCACCATCGGAAGCGGACATGGCTAGACGATCTGAGTTATGGGCACGCTGTGTCGCTGTATATCAGCGGTAAGCTACTCCTTAAATCCTCAGACAGGATTCTGATTGTTGGTAGCGCGTGCGTAACAAAGGGACAATGCCCTCGGTCAACGGTGGACTTGCAGCAAGACCTGGGCCAGCAACAAGTCTTATCTCAGAAGATTGCCCCATCTTTGGCACTAGAGCTTAGGTGCCTGGAACTGATCGCCCGATGCAGCGCAGCCGTATTGGAGTTTGGGGTTCGAACCATGTTAGCTGAGCAGGAAAAGTCGTTTGATATCCTCTTGCGCACGTTCGAGCGTCAGGCAACCGAGCTCGAGGCCCTTGCAAACTCAGGTAACAAGTTCAAACCCCAATACGCTGGCTCAAGACTGACGCCAGACAGCGAACGATCGATTTCACACAACTATGTGTCGCCTGTGCGTCCAAATGTTTCACCTTTTCAAGAATCAGACCATATATACATCTGACTGTCTCACACGACTTGCGACAACGGCTTGTAGGACTATCGACTGTATCCTGGAAATTGGGCAAAGCATGGCCAACCTCGCTAGTGCTCCAATGCAAATGACCTATGGACTTCTCCTTCCGGCATCGGCGCTCCTACGAATCCTCAAATGCTCCAACGACACTGATCTTGACATTGCGAGAGGAAGAAAGGCCCTCTTCAGTGCAATCAACATGGCTAAGCGCATGTCGGTGGATGTTCATGACACGGCGTCCAAACTCGCAATAGTCATGAACCAACTCTGGAACAGCTCCAAGGTTTTCCGAAAAGCTGACGGGACTGGGTTCATCGCTCTCCGAATCCGCAGCCGCCTCGTCCTCAGCCCTGTTATCGATACGATCTGGTGGTGGCGTGATGAATTTGAGCCACAGTTCTATCCTTCTAGCGCAGCTCAAGCAACTGTGGCTGAAGGAGGTGTGTTGCTTCCCCCGCAATTCTATTGGCAATCTGCCCACTGACTCGGAGATAACAGCCGACTCTACTAGTAACCAGATAAGCGGACCGTCCAACGCCCCCTGTGGTCTTGTGGACCGACATGATCCCGTGTTGTTCGACGAACAGTTCCTTGCAGACTTCGAATGGGCACTAAGCAACGACGGCCTCCTGCAACCGACCGAGCCATATGGGTCGGCCTGGCCTGCCGCAGGGACGATAGCCTAGAGCAGATCGCTCAGAGCATTTAGCATCTTTACCATACACGCGTCTCAGGCAGGCCGCCACGGATGCCAAGCGGGCCCGATCGAAGACGGGAGAGATGAACGTCCTGCAAGCGAGCTCGCGCCACCGATACCACAGCATAGGGACATTATTTTGCCGACCAGATCAGCAGCTCATTGCTTCCGACCTGAGCACGCTAGTATTGAGCGTTATGCACCTTCATTATGGCCGAAGTGGCCACCCACGTGTAGATGAGCCGGAAGCCGTTATCGCGAGCTCAGTCAATTGGCCCAAGTGCAGGTTGTTGTTATCATCCTCCGTGCGTAGGCGATGATTACCGAACGGCACCCCTGCCATCCGTAACAACCTGCGTTCCCAGCGACTTGAGCCGGACATCCAAGCATCGGACATCGACTTCCAACTAATCCAAGGGGGGTAGAGGTAGTTGGCGAATATACACCGAAGAAGCGGTGTCCGTGCCCAGGAGGCAACGGAGATGCCCGGAATGGGAAGTAGGATGGCAGGATGGTGTGTGAGACATGATGCATCAGATACGAAGTAGCCACGGCATAACTGGCTAGGCAAAGGGGGCGAAATCCTATGCCTGGGAAGCCGTCCGCACCTTCCAACGCTTACGTTCCAATTAAGACTAATATTCTCCGACATCCGAAGCTCTAAAGCCAGAGTCCGACAAATAATCAACAAGCTATGCACAGTGAAGGTCCCTGAGTGTGTTCACGACCATACAGCAGCATTGCGTAAGGTTAGTGTGCGATTAGGTCACCCTGAGCTAGTTCAGTGTTTATGAGTGTATCCATCCCTTACTGACAGGAACCAGCAAGGATGGGCCAAGATCAAATGCGGCGGCGCCTGGGGCGGGGGGAAGATGTAGGTACGGAGTATCTACGGAGGAAGCGAGGATTTGCTCCGGTGCTCCGACACGTTTATCAAACGTATCACGCGTCGCATATCGCTCGTCATAAATATTACCCAATACCTCCAAATACCTTCCGGAACCGGCTAAATCTATCTTACCACAATCTTCCCGGGGCTGACCGCCTTCACAGTTCTTATCGCTTGTTGTGAGACCTTCTTCGACCACTGTACCAGAGACCCAGTGTGGGATTCTAAGACTACTCTCCAGAGCCCCCAGGCCCTTGAATGGAAATCTCGGAGCTTGTTGCTCTATCCCCATCGAGAAGTGTGGTGGTGTCAGCGGCGTGTGGCGGTTGTCCCGCCCATCGGAACTCTGCACGGAAGACCGACCTGAAAGGATGGAACAATCCCTGCCTAGGCCAACTGGCTGCATTAAGACTTCTGGGAGCGAAAGCCAATAATTAGCCAAGCTGAAGGTAGTCTAGGATGGGGTGGCTTGACCGGCGTACTCCGGATTGGTGCGCACCAACCAAGAATGAGTCCAGGGCGCCTCGCTAGCTTATCGTGAACAAGCCTGAGTCAAAAAGGGGAATAGTGCGCCGGTCCACAATGTCTGGCTGACCTGGGGAAAAACTTCACTTATCAGCGACCGCCGCTGCAGCGTAACATACATACCACTTGGCAATCGAGACCATCTCGACCATTCATGCACGCGGGGAGTAGCTCTGCTACCCCCCTTCTTTTTTTCTTGATCTTGCCACCGAAGGCGAACCTACTACTCGTGTGTACATTGTTTAACCAATTGGTACGCCTCTCCGATTCCGCTAGCCTTCCTCCCTCCCACCCACAGATCGGAACCCAATTGATAATACGGTTTATTTGGTGATTGCATTCGGGCTGAATTTAGAGTGATATCCGCTAGAACCTCGGCCCCCGGGTCAATGCATTTGGCGGCCTGGCTCTATTCCCGCTCCAGATGCCAGCCATGATAGCCTCCCTACTTTCTTCCCCCTAGTCAACTTCAGTCTCTAGCAACCTCAACTCCCCACTCTTGGCAGTTGCATTTCCACTGAAACCATCCCGTGACCCCGTAAAATCTACCCTTTTCTGGTTCGACCAGTGAGTCATTGTCACTACTACTGTTCTCCGGTCTTTTTTCTGGTTTGAAGGGCGCAGTGACGCGGACGCTGCAAGCGAAGCTGATATGGAAGGGCGGGATGGGAAGGGCCGTGCAGGTGGCACACGCCTTACGCATGGCCTGACCATGCTCAAGTCTAAGTCTACTTTAGTCTCCCCCGGTTTTCGCTACCCAAGCCAGTAATCTCCATGATTGGAAGATGCCTGGCCAGTGTGTTAGTGGTAACCTAGTGAATACGCCGTACCAGCCTACCAGGTAACACTAGCACATGGCAAACGAACTGGGGTACCACTAAGGCTGGCTGATAGCCGCAAGATAGCCTCGACCACATTCACTGGCCGTTCCTATCAGCGATTTAATCTAATTTTCGATTTTCGCCATCGATCAATTCACCGGGCTACCGTCGGCCTTCACTGCATATCGCATGGTGGCTAGCCAGGATTGGAAGGTCGTATGGGCGGTATATGTACCTGCCTTCCTCCGCCTGTTCGTCGCTCTTCTTTCTTGATTCTCTCCCCAGATCAACATCCACTGTCTACTTGTTTTAACTGAGTGTCTCGTTTCTCAGTTGTTAACTTCTCTTTTCACCCTTCACCCTTGCTGTGTGGCTTGAAACCACAACGATGCAGGAGAAGGAAGTGGCCTACTCCACTTCGGTGGCTGATGAGGCAGCCCCGGAGGAGACTGCCGTTCACCTCAAAAACCTGAAGCTACAGCATCAGTGGGACCCCAATCTGCCCGATGAGGTCGCTGACGAGATCGATGAAGCCCTCCACACAACCGACAAGGGGGCGCGCGAGGGCATGGCCCATGAGCTGCTGGACGACTCGCCCTACCCCGAAGTGCGCGCTGCTGTGCCCAACTATGACGAAGGTGGCCACACCAACACCATCCGCGCCTGGACCATCGGTCTGATCTTCGCCACCATCGGTTCGGCCCTGAACATGCTGTTCTCCATGCGCAACCCCTACATTGTCATTCCGTCATATGTCGCCCAGGTGGTCGCCTACCCAGTGGGTGTGGCCTGGGCGAAGTTCATGCCGAACAAACAACTGAGTCTGTTTGGACGTCAATTCAACCTCAACCCGGGTCCCTTTAGCAAGAAAGAGCATGCCCTCATTGTCATCATGGCCAACGCGACTTTCGGTGGTGGTGCCGCCTATGCGACGGACGTCTTGTTGGCTCAGCGCGCCTTCTATAAGCAGTCCTTCGGATGGGGTTTCGAGATCCTCATGTGTATCTCGACCCAGATGCTTGGGTTTGGTCTGGCGGGTTTCTTCCATCGGTTCTTGGTTGCTCCCGCGGCCATGATCTGGCCCTCCAACCTCATCAACTGCGCCCTGTTCACAGCTCTTCACGACACCCGCAAGCCGGACCCATCCAAGGTCAATGGATGGACGATCGGAAAGTACCGCTTCTTCCTCTACGTGATGATCGGGTCCTTCTGCTGGTACTTCTTCCCGGGTCTCATTGCGCCGTTCCTGAGTTACTTCGCCTGGGTTACCTGGATCAAGCCCCAGAACCCGGTCGTGAACCAGCTCTTTGGCGGCGAGACTGGGCTGTCGCTGATCCCCATGACGTTTGACTGGACGCAAGTGTCGGGGTTCAACTTCAGTCCCCTGATCGCTCCCTGGCATGCGATCGCCAACACGCTCATCGGCATGGTGATCTTCTTCTGGATCGTGACCGCTGGTATCCACTACAGTGGAACATGGTTCGCCCAGTTCCTGCCTATCAGCGACTCCAGCAGTTACGACAACACGGCCACCACGTACAACGTCTCTCGCATCATGACGCCCGAGTTCACCCTGGATCTGAAGGCCTACGAGGAATACTCCCCGCTGTTCCTGTCCACGACCTTCGCCCTGTGCTATGGTCTCTCTTTTGCTACGATTATTGCTCTGCTTGTCAACACCGGTCTCTTCCACGGCAGTGAGCTCTGGGTACGCTTCCGAAACTTCGGTAAGGAGGAGGAGGATGTTCACGGCCGCCTGATGGCTCGCTTCAAGCCGGTTCCGCTTTGGTGGTACGGGGGCGTGGTGGTGGCCATGATTGCCATCGGCCTTGGTCTCGTGCTGGGATATCCCACCCATTTGGACTGGTGGGCATTTTTTGTGGCCTTGATCATTGCCGTGATCTGGTACGTGCCCATCGGTATCATCCAGGCGTCCACCAACATTGCCCTCGGCTTGAACGTCTTGACCGAGTTCATTGTCGGGTATATCCAGCCGGGCAAGCCCATGGCCATGATGCTGTTCAAGACCTACGGGTACATGAGCATGTACCAGGGATTGTATTTCAACCAGGACATGAAACTAGGTAAGTGCAATGTTGTTCGTCGATCGCGAGATGAGGCACCCTGACTGACTGTTTGACCAGGCCACTACATGAAGATCCCTCCCCGTGTCTCCTTCGCCGGACAGATGGTCGCCGCCTTGTGGTCCTCTATCGTCCAGATCGCCGTTATGAACTGGGGTCTCGCGACCATCAAGGACGTCTGTAGTTTGGACCAGCCCAACCACTACACCTGCCCCAACGGCCGTGTGTTCTTCAACGCCTCGGTCATCTGGGGTCTCATTGGTCCCCAGCGGATGTTCTCCCCGGGCCAGATGTATGTCAACCTGCAATGGTTCTGGCTGGCGGGTGCCTTGCTGCCCGTGATCGTCTACCTTGCCGCTCGGATGTGGCCTAAGTCCAAGATCCGGTACCTCAGTGCTCCCCTGATCTTCGGTGGCGCTGGTCTTATCCCCCCGGCCACCCCGCTCAACTACCTCACCTGGGGTATCGTGGGTATGATCTTCAACAAGTACATCCGCGACAAGTTCCGCGGCTGGTGGATGCACTACAACTACATCTTGTCCGCCGGACTGGATGTCGGATTGGACCTGTGCACCATCCTGATCTTCTTGACGATCGACCTCACCGGCGCGAGCTTCCCCGATTGGTGGGGCACCCGCATTGCCAGTGGTACCATGGACACGATGGGTACGGCGATCCAGACGGTTTTGACCAACGGGACCTTTGGCCCGACGAAATGGTAGTGCGAGGGAGCTGCCCGTACACCATACATAGGTCGATAACTTTCGTTGTTGAATCGTGGATGAGGGATGTTTGGTGGAATGGCCGAGAGAGAAAGTACAAGCCCGCCGGTGGACCTGGCTGGGGCTGTGATTTATGATCCCGACGACTTATCTCGCTGTATTATGATCATGTTATAATTCCTAATTCTATCTGTTCGTGATCTTACTTGCATGAGCTACTGTAGGGGCCATTCTTCTTGATTGTATGTTGTAATTGTACACCAAATCATTACCCTACTAGCTGCGACTTCTCCCGCATCGCCCGGAAGCATTCAGCAACACGGTAAAAGGCCTCCTTCGGCGCCCATCGAGGCTTTCCAATCTCATTCGCTTCCCGATCACCCTTCTCCTCCTCCTCCGGGAAGTACTTCACCAACGAGAAACACATCATGTCGAAATCCCTCGCCCCGACCCCGGCGGGCATACAGGGAAACGCAAACACATACACGAAGACGGCATTCACCTGCGCCTCGGGCCTCGCCAACAGCCCCAACTGCGTCTCCAGGTAATCGGCCTGCTCGCGCTCGCTCCGCGTCGGCACGATGTCCCCTTCAAACACCCCACTCCCATCGGGATTCCGGCCTTTGAGCAAGGCGAAGCCGCCATCGCCGCGGGCGGCCGCGCCTTCGTACGCACAGCATCCGACCTCCATCACCACGAGGGGCTTATGCTTCTGGCTGGTGCCTTGTGGATCCACCACGCGGTGCCGCTCGAGCCCCGCGCGGTATGCCTGGGCCGACTCGCCCCGACGGTAGTAATCCACCCCGACGAGATCAAACAGGTCCCAGTCCACGGCCTCCCAGGTGCCGGCGGCGTACGTGACGGGTCCGTGGAAATGGGCGCGGATCTCTGTCACGAAGGCGCGGAGCGCCGCGTTCAGCAGCGGGGATGTGGCGAGCACGCGGGGTGGGATTGCTTGTGCTGCTGCTGCTGCTGCGGCATCACCACCATGACCGGCCTCATCACCCCCAGGACGAACCGTGGTCGCACCCACCTGCGCCGCATACCACGCCACCCGCTCCTCGAACGTCTCCCCCGGAAACACCCCGCGACTGAAGAGACTGTACTCGCACCCGGCCACGAACACCAGGTCGCTCAGCCCGTCATGCACGCGCAGCCGCTCGGCCACGTCCGCGGCGCGCGCCAGGTACCGGCCGGTCTCGGCGATGTCGGCGTGCATCTTCCACGGGTTGAAGTAGACGGTCAGGCCTGCGGCGTGGGCGAGGCGGGCGGCGGTGGCGAGGCGGTCGAGGGGTTCGCCTTCGAGGCGCACGGCGGTGGCGTGCAGGGTTTGGGCGATGGTGTGCATGTCCTCGGTGATTTGGGTGGGGTTGAAGGTCGGGATGGACAGGGTCTTTTCGGGGGTATTGGTGAAGTTGAGGCCGATGTCGTAGACGATGCCGTGGTGGTGCATTTTGGTGGTTGGTGGTGGGTCTGGGGGGTTTGGGGGCTTGATGGGTTCTGGGGAGGTGGAGAGCTGAGGATGCGTTGTTTGGGGATGTAGATGAAGGGTATGCGTATGTTTCAGGTGGGTTGGAGGTGTTCTTATACTCTCTATACATGCGTTCTGTCTAGGGTTGAGGCCCGGACAGCGCAGTCTTGGCGTTCCGAGGTCCGTGAAAACTCTCTCTCTCTCTCTCTCTCTCTCCGCTTCACTCGTTGACACCCATTGACCGTCTGTCTTTTCTTGCTGGGCAATGACTGGTGGGTCTTGTGCTTCAGTACTCATGTTCAGTATCACTGGCAGTAGCAAGAGGGCAAGGGAGGAAGATCCTGATGAGGGTTCCCCCGAGGTGGAGAAGGTGGCTGTATGGCTTTCAGGTCTCCGTACTAAGTACTGCATGCTGAATGCTAACGCTTTCCTAGTGTGATCGTTGTCGTCAGCGGAAGGTGCGAGATTTCGAATATCAACACCTTCTAGACTTTCACACTGATTGCTTGTTGGCAGACCAAGTGCGATCGGGTGAACCCCTGTGTGCAGTGCATCCGAACGGGGTCGGACTGTACCTACAACCGGGGGCATAAGCTCAAAGAGAAGCGGCAGCGCGTTCTACTTTCTAGTGTATAGTACGTTATTAGCTGTTTCAGTTGAGGTTGAGCACTAACGGCCAACAGCGAGAGGAGACTGGAGTACATCGCGAACAAGCTTGATCACCTCGCAGAGGTAGTTGGTCGACTGAGCCATGAGCACTCCAGCCATGCGACTTCAGCCGGACTGCGTCTGCCATTGCAGCCCTCTTTCCACCACCCCAGCCATTCGTCGTCTTCTGCTCCTGCACAAGTGGAAGGCATTGAATCCACCCTTTTCGTCCATGTGACCTTTACTGCGAAATGCCTCCAAGCGGCAGTGATGGACGCCAATCTTCCCCCTAGCGATGCCCCCGAGTTGACCGCCGCACTGAACAGCCTGTGGAACACGATAACTGCCCAGACACAACAGAACCAGATCTTAGAATGTTCGCAGCCGTTTGCAGAGCCGCTTCCCCGAAGCTTGACTTCAGACTTCAAGGACCTGCCGATCCCCTCCCTGGACCGGATCATGGCATGCCTGAGACTCGCTCACGGTGCGTGTACTTTATCCTCCCCCTCCCCTCTAGCCGCAAATGCAACTGTTCCAAGACTAAACGCGTCAGCATAGAATATTCACCCAGTCGGCTCTATTGGCCCTTCGAGTTCGGATCCCTGGGCGACTTCACTCACTACGTGATCCGAGCGTGCTCGCCGGGCCCGATCACCGAGATGGAGCTGATCATTGTGCACTACGTGCTTGCCTGGCTGTTCCCCGAGTGCGCAAACCTCACGACAGGCGACCCTCTGCTCAAGCAGGATTACGAGGACCAGGCCCTCGTTTGCCGACAGAGTCTGGAAACCCTTCTGGGTAGTCTGTCCTTCCATGTAGCTACGAGCTTGGACGCTGTGTGTGCTATGTACATGGCTGTACGTTTTCCCTTCTACCATCAGTCACGGTTTTTGAGAGAAATGCTAAGTATCCTCATTCCTGAGTAAACAGACAATCCACTGTCTCCAGCACGGCAAACCCTTCACCGCGTGGTCCTTCATCTCCAAGGCTTCACTCATCAGCCAGACCCTAGGGCTACACAGCCCTCATGCTACCATGGGCCCCGCGGGGATAGAAGAAGCCGAAGAGGACGAGGACAGAATCCAGCGGAAGACGCGCCTCTTCTGGGCGGTCTACGTCCTCGAGAAAGCCCTCGCCCTGCGTCTGGGTCGGCCGTCCACGATCCACGACGCGGACATCACGCTGCCAAAACTCCGTCTCGACCGCCGGATGGCCTCCCTTCTCCACAACCGGCTACCGGACTGGATCGAGGTGGCCGGTCTGTACGGACGGGCGTACGACGAGATCTGTAGCCCGAAGGCGCTGGCGCAGACGGCGGACGTGCGCGAGTCTCGGATCCGCGCTGTGGCGCGTGAGTGGGAGGGGGTTATTGCCGCGCGGGGGGAGTTGTATGTGCGTTGTCGTCCTCCCCCTCAAACTTTTATACACCTCCTTGGTCGGGGTAGAAGAGGTTCAGCCACTGATAGTTCATGCTATTCGCTGCGAGCAGAAACACCCCGAACAATGGACCAGCCATGTCCTTGCCCCCGGACCGAGTGATTTCATCATCCACGCCAACCGAGCGACTGAGTACTCGGTCCTGGCGTCGATCTATCGAGCTATCCCCCCCGAAACAGAACCTCCTTCTTCAGCGCGTTCTTCTTCCGGTGACAGGGGCATAAAACCTAGCCCTGAATCCCTCGCCGCAGCAAGACTCTCCCTCGTCGAGACAGAAGCCTGCATCACCACCATGCTTGCCGCCGACGCCGACGTCGACAACGCGGCGTGGCCGTCCTCCCCTGGCTTCGATGTCTGGGTCACTGAGAGCTTACTCGTTGCGCCGGTCATGCCCTTCTTGATTTTACTCGGTGGGCTCGTGCACTCGCCTGGTTCTGAGGAGTTGGATCTGGATATCTTAAGGCGGATCGTCGATGGAGTGGGTCGGCTGGTGCGCGTGCCTCGGTACGCGCGGTGTCGGAGGTATGGCCGGGTTTTTCGGGTCTTGTACGATGTTGCTGCTGCGTTTGTGGAGGTGAGAAGTAAAAGGAGGATGGATAGGTTTGGTGGAGAGATGGGGGTTGGTGTCGGTGCGGGCGGCGAGTTGGATGGGCTGGGGGATCTGGATGCGTATTTGGATTGGAGTGGGAGTGGTTGGGGTGATTAGACTGTGCTTATCTCTTTTGATAGATACTAGGCACTGTGTGGAGAGACTGCTTAGGGTTCTTCCTTTCTTTCTTCTTGCCGTTTTGTGGAAGAGCTTTCAACATCTCCCTGGTATCGCTATCCCTGATAGACAGGTACTGTGGCTGAAAACCTAGGAGTACTGTTTTGATAGTGCCTAGGCTATAGGCTTGGGGAGATCCTATCAACTCCACATCTGCAATATCTCCACAAGAATTTGCTACGGACTCGTAGCTGACTGAACGCAAAAGATCAGTGCTAGATCGAATTGCCCCTCATATCAACCGGCATCTCCCTCTCCGAGCCCAGGCGCTTCGAAATGCGACGATCAATAGGCCCAAACCTGGCCTCGCGGACCCGGCCAAAATGCCGACTGTACCAGTCCACGACCCGTGCATCCGCACAATCATCCAGGGTATCATTGTCCACCTCCAAGTACCCATTCATCATCGCCACGCAGGACCGCCGGGACCGGCCCCACCGCGAGAACCCAGCCTCGGTCTCAGATTCCTCCTCGACCGCCGCCCGCACCAAGCTCTCCACCAGCGCTCGCTCGAGCGCGTAGTGCAGGTTGCCGTAGCTTTCGTAGCGCGGTGCTGCTGCTGCTGCTGCTGCTGCTGCTGCTTCCGGAGCCCTTGTTTCGGTTTCGGGAGCAATTTGACAATCGAACGCGTGCGCAAACGAGTTCGGGAACAGGTACCCCTGCATGCCCTGTTCTGCGGGATCGTCGTCCGGATAATCGGACACGGCGCACGACCGATCTAAGCGCTGATAGCCGGCGTTGATCTCGGCCAGCATCTGCTGGAGGTTGGGGTGGCGTGCCGTGATGACGGGGTGCGGGTTGCGGTTGGGCACGCTGCGTTGGAATCCGGCCTGCGCGAGGAGGGATTGCGCGGCGGGGTAGTCGGCGTCTTGGACTACGATCATGGGGGCCTCATGCGAGATAACAATGGTGAGGGATGGGGGGGGGGGGGGGGGGGGGGGTGGGGTGTGTTTTTTTTTTTTTTTTTTTTTTTTTTTTTTTTTTTTTTTTTTTTTTTTTTTTTTTTTTTTTTTTTTTTTTTTTTTCGATGTTACCCCAACTCCGACGGGAACGCCGAGATAACCCATCGCGAGTGCGCTCCACGGGACCACGGGGATCGGTTGGAGGACTTCGCTCAGGCGCAGGGAGAGCTCGTCCGGGGAGGTCTGTTGTGGGCCTCGGAACATTGGAGCTGTGGTTGGGGGATCTTGAATCTTTCTGGTGGGTATACTGTTTTTCTTGCTTCTTGGTGATATTCGGGAGGAGGGTGAAGATGATGCAACTTTTGAGGGTGTTTGTGACGCAGCCTGTGTTGTGTTAGTATTTGTGTTGAAGGCTGATTCGGCCGGTGTTCCTCTTGCCACGTCTTCCGTGCATACTCAATTATTTACGGTCATTTCGCTACAATTACCTCGAATACGACAAGGATACACCTCTGTGTACTCCGACCCCCGGCTGGATTCCCAAAGGTTTCCATGGTCACTGCGACATTTTTATTTACCCATCTCTTTGTTCTCTTTCCCTTCTTTGCATTTTCTTTTCTCGTTGCTTTTTCTCTTTGCCGCTTCTGCATAAGTGAGAATTGCACCAGTTGAAATTAGTGTAGTCTTGCGAAAGGTGTTATATGTGCTGCACTCAGTGCGTGTTGCATGTGACTGGCTTGGAGCAGTGCTGTTCAGCTAAAGTACACAATCTGTATATCTGTTCTTGTTGGATTCGTCCCTGAGGATCGGGGCAAGACAGACGCCCATCCACCATCCCCCTAGAACCCATACGTAGCCCACTTGGCATCCACCTTGTCCTGAATCTCCTGGGGATAATTCCCCCGATAGGAGGCCTCCTTATACGTCGGCACCTCGGAGAACTCGCTGGCGAACATGCAGCACCGCACGACCTTCAGATGGTTGGCCCCGGTCTTGGCGCCGTGCGACACGTACGGGATCAGCCCGATGTTGGGGTACTGGTCGAAGAAGTACTCGTTCTCGCGGGGCTGGCAGCGGGTGGCGTTGGCCCAGATGACATCGCGCAGGTTGGTGGGGTCGATGTCGTCGCCGACGAGGTAGACGATGGGGATGTAGTAGCCGGGCTTGGAGGCGAAGACGGTGTGGCCGACCTCGCGACAGAACGCCTCCATGGTGGTGTGGCGCGCGCGCAGCGCCGCGCGGTCGACCTGCAGCACGAACCAGAGGCAGTGCGACTCGAACGGGTTCCAGACCATGGTGATCGGCAGCCCGGCCTGCTCGCAGATGGTCAGCACCTCCGCCGCCTGCGTCAGCCCCCAGACCGTCTCGCTCTCCTCGGGCGCGCGGCCCGTCACGCAGATGGGCAGGATGGGGTCCCGGCGGTAGGTGATGGCGTCGATCTTGTGCAGCGGACACTCCTTCTGCTCGCCCGGGAAGATCAGCCCCGGGTACTCGGCCATGGGGCCCTCGGGCGCGGTCTCGGTGCGCGAGATGGACCCCTCGAAGACGATCTCCGCGGTCGCCGGCACGAGGATCTCGTTCGTTTCGGCCTTGGTCACCTCGACGGGGCGCCCGATCAACGCCCCGATGTACTCGCTCTCGTTCACCCCCTTCGGCAGCGGCATCCCGCTCACCATGATCGCCGCGGGTGGCACCCCGAAGCACAGCGCGAAGGGGCAGTCCTTCCCCAGCTCGGCCCACATCTGCCGGATCACCCCGATGTCCTGCCGGGGGATCATGGGCCCCACCAGCGTGCGCTTCCCGTGCAGCATGCTGCGCGTGATCGACCAGTTCACCCACGACCCGTCGGGGCTCTGCACGATGTACATGCCGAACGTCTGCAGGAACTTGCCGCCGTCGTCGGCGTGCAGCTTGGGGACGGGCAGGGCGGTGAGGTCGATCTCATCGCCCAACAGCCTGAACTCCTTGACGGGGCCCGTGGGCACCTCCGTCGGCGGGATCTGGGGTAGGTGTTTGGCGGCCCGGAACTTGTGGATGATTTCCTGTCCGCTTGCGGTGGATGGCAGCCCCAACGATTTGGCGATGCGGATGAACCGCTTGCCCGGCTGCTTGCTGGCGCCGACGGGGGCGCCCAGCACGCGGAAGAGCCCGCTCGGGTGCCGGCCCTTGAGGTGGTTGAACAGCGGCGCCTTGTCCTCGGTCTCGTAGACCTTGCGTGTGATGGCTGCCAGCTCCAGGTCCGGGTCGACTTCCTCGTCGATGGCGACCAGGTCGTTCTCGGCTTGCAGGTCTTGGATGAAGCGCCGGAAGCTGGCGCAGGCAGACAGGTTGGATTCTTGGGGGGTGGTTTCGGCCATGCTGGGTGTGAAGAGGGGCGTTGGATGAGTGCTGTGAGAGCGTTGGGTCGGACAGATTGCGTCCCCTTTTATAGGGTTGAGTCGGGATCAGGTGCCTGAGGTCGATACCTCAGGCCAGGGCCGCGGACGGAACATATCTCCCAGCCGGGGATAGCGGGGGTACGGCCGAACGGCCCGAGCCCCACCTCACGCTGACTCAGCAGCCCTAAGTCGGCCAATCTGCGCCTTCACTTCGTGCTCTGGAGTCAAGCTATACGCGCCAAGAGCGATTAATATCTTTAATATAGCGCCAGTTGCTACAAAACTACTCAATCGAGCTTAGCCATGCCCCTCTTCAACCCCGCAATCTGCTGCCGACTCCCGAGACCACCGCGCGGCTTGAGTAATGGAAACGGGGATTTGCATCACAATCAGGAGACGATCACCTCATAATACTGCAGTGCTAAGGCCTACATAAACCTGGCACACAGCCAAGTCACTGCACACATTCCTTGTGATCTAATCTAACTCTCTGAACCGGATCTTTGCCCCCCCCTGGACCCTCACGACACCTCAAAATGTCGTCCACATCCACATCCACTCCCACCACCCCACGAACAACCACGTTAACCACGCGCCGCAAACGCATCATCATCGCCCTGACCGGCGCGACCGGCACCATCCTGGGCATCCACGCCCTCCTGGCCCTGCGGGCCCTCAACGTCGAAACCCATTTGATCGTGAGCAAATGGGCCGAGAACACCCTGAAGTACGAGACGGACTACACGGCGGCCAACGTGCGCGCGCTCGCCGACTTTGCGTACAGCAACCACGACCTGGCGGCGCCCATCGCCAGCGGCTCCTTCCGCGTCGACGGTATGATCGTCGTCCCCTGCAGCATGAAGACCCTGGCCGCCATCAACGTCGGCTACGGCGAGGACCTGATCGCCCGCGCCGCCGACGTCATGCTCAAGGAGCGCCACCGCCTCGTCCTGGTCACCCGCGAGTGTCCGCTGAGCAGCGTGCACCTCGAGAACATGCTGGGCGTGACGCGGCATGGGGCCATCGTGTTCCCGCCCGTGCCGGCGTTCTACACGCGGCCCGCCGGGTTGGCGGATGTGGTGGAGCATATTGTTGGGCGCGTGTTGGATTTGTTTGGGTTGGAGGTGGAGGGGTTGCCGAGGTGGGAGGGCTTCGTGAAGGATTGATCTGGGAATTGGGGTTGGGTTTCGTGGGTTGTGGGTTGGGTTTTATAGAGGGTCGCGTCTGGTTCCGGGGGTTGGAGTTAGGTGGTTGTTTTGGTTCGGTGGTATTGTGTTGCTCGGGGCTCGTTTTACTTGCAGACTCTTTGTATTGCTTTTGTTTTTGATAGAGGGTCTTTCATTTCGAGGAATAGATATCCGTAATGGTCGTTGGTATTGACACTCACACTCTCCCATCCTAACTCATGCTGACAGTTCGCAGAAGCTGGTATCAAGGGCTCTATATGTCCTTACAGAAAGGGATGAAAGCAGTACCTGGTCACGTTTCCTTACGGGCGGGTGCTTGCTTAGGGGCACTTTTCATCATTGATTGTGTTAAGGTCCTCCATGTTGGAATCAAGTACCAATGGAACATGAGTTATCACTAACTCTTCTTTTGTACATGACTTCAAAGGCCGCGGATGGGGAGACCGTGCAGCGCGTGCATGATATTCAGTCCCTGGAGGAGATTGTGTACTCATCACCCGGATTGCAGAACCTACCGCTGGAGTTGTTGACGTTAAAGTTTGACCGATTCGGGAGAAGTTTCCGGGGATCAAGGAGATGGAGTTACCTGTGTAGGGGGCCATCTCTGTGTAACTATGGCCTGAATCTTGGCTCATCAAGCCACACCGGCTCTTCTACTTCGCCCCCTTCAGCCGAACAAACCGGCGCGTCTTCAAGCATTTCCGAAGAGCAGATTCCCCAACCCGGCCACCGACGAGTACTATCTGCACCTGTTCGCGGCGCAACAGCCCCGACCTGAAATGGGAGAACCCGGCCACGCGGGCACACGCTGTACGCGTCGGCCATGGAATTCTGGGCTGCGGAAGGGCATCATCGACGGGTTCCGCGTCGACACGGTGAACATGTACAGCAAGCCGCCCAGCTTCCCCGGACGCGCCGGTGCGCGACCCTGGCCAACCGCGACCAGCCGGCGGCGGACCGGTTCTGCAACGGGGGGCGCATGCCCGAGTTCCTGGCGGAGATGACCGCCATCCTCCGAAAGCACAGACCGGCCGGCGACGCCATCACCGTCGGCGAGCTGCCCAACACCCCGCACCTCCCGGACGTCCTGCAGTACTGTATGTCAGCGCGGCCGCCCCGCACCCGCTCAGCATGGTGTTCCAGTTCGACGTGGTTGACAGCAACATGGGCACGGACCGGCGGTTTGACACGGTGCCCGCGCACGTGGACGCTGAGCGACCTGCGCGCGCGCGTGGGCGCCACGCAGACGCTCATGGACGGCACCTCGGATGGGTGGAGCACCGCCGTCCTCGAGAACCACGACCAGGCGCGCTGCGTTTGGGGGGGGGGGGGGGGGGGGGGGCGATCCGGACCAGCACTAGGCGGAGAGCGCTAAGATGCTCGCTATACTGGTCGCCCGCCTCTCCGGGACCCTGTTCCTGTACCAGGGCCAGGAGATCGGCATGGTCAACGCCCCGCCCGCCTGGGACGTGGCCGAGTACAAGGACGTCGACAGCGTCAACTACTACCGCTACGTGCGGGAGACGGCAGGCGACGACGACGATGATGATGATGAAAACCCCGGCGCCCTCCGCAGGGCCCGCGCGGCCCTGAATTACCTGGCCCGCGACCATGCGCGCCTGCCCATGCAGTGGAATGCGTTGCCGCACGCCGGCTTCACGGACCCCCGCGCCACGCCGTGGATGCGCGTGCATGACAACTATCCCACGGTGAATGTGAAGCGCCAGGCGTCGGAGGACGGGTCGGGGCTGAATTTCTGGCGGGGTCTTGGTGCGCGTCCGCAAGCAGCATCCGGAGGTGTTTGCGCGGGGCGTGTTTCGGGATACAGACCCGCCGAACGAGGCGGTGTTCGTCTTTGAGAAGATGGGCCGGAGCGAAAAGTTGGTGGTGGCGTTGAGCTTTATTGGAGAGGTGCAGCCGGTGGCATTGGAGGGCCAGTTTCATGAGAAAGCGAGGAAGACGTCGGTTAAAGATTATGAGGAGGAGAGGCTCGATGCGTTGCAGCCGTGTGAGGGCCGGATTTATATGGTGGAGGTTTAGTTGGCTTTGTATGGGCCATCTCGTCTCGTTTGGAATGTTTGGGTAGACTGGTTTGGCAGGCATAGATTGATCCAGACGTCCTACCGCAGAGATAAGACAATTAGTGGGTTGATTTCGTCGTCCACCCGACAGTGAAGGCTACCGAACCGTCTGCCATCGGATTTCTTACTCGAAGGATAGTCCTGGCCAACTTCATTCAGGCTGAACCAATTCCAAGTTCATCTTATCAGACTAGTGCTGAAACTACCCATCATACAGATAGCTATCATCCACAAACTCCGCCTGATGGAGAAGACTATGCACCGCTAGCTGATGGTGGCGCTCAAATCCATCCGACCCAGCCAGTCGATCAGGATTCGATCCTCTCGCCTCTTTAGACTGGGGGCTACTGCACGCTTCGATCAACACCTCGAGATCCAAGATCATCCCCTTCGCATGAGCCGCCTGCCCAAAGTTCCGCTGCAAGAAGGCTACGGCCAAGGATGCCCGCTCTAGCGCCGTGCCCAGCGGCAGGGACAGTGAGTTCCCTGATCCTTTCCGACCTGAATCCCCGGCCAGATGGAGACACAGACGCGCCGCGTGGTAAACACACCGGGCGATATCCACAGAGAAGAAAGTTGGAGGAATGAGAGCCTCATTGTGCAAGATGAAGTCGATGATACACGTGCTGTGCTGGTGGCATTTCTCCCGGGCTTGAAGAACGAACGGGCTGGAGCTCAAGGAATTGAGAATCGTCAAAGATGCAGCGTTGGGATGGCCGGCAAGAAATATCCGGGACAGATCGCACTGACCTTGGTGCCATGCGACTCGGATTTCGAGGACACGTCCCAGCCACCGCGATGGTAGCTGGGTTTGGGACTGGAGTTTAGCATGGCTCGGAGAAGGGGTCCCAAACGACGCGGTGATTTGGGCGCCGATCTGCAACAGGCTTGTCTGAAAGCCTCGAGCAATGGCATCGAGATCAACGACGGGCTGTTCCACGAGGGCGAGTTGGCGAGTCAGGCGAATGATATCGCGACGGACTTTGGACAGACGCAAGATGAGTTCGAGCGTACCGTGCGAGGCCGGGGACTGATCGGTCGGGATGCCAGACGGACGACGGATCATGCACTCCGGTATCGGCGAGCCGAACATTTCTTCGCGGCAAGGGAACTGCTGGTAGATCTCCCCATAGTCGATGGTGCTGTAGCCCGGAAGACCGACCGAGAAGTATCCATCAAGTAAAGCCATCGTCCACGCAGCTCTACGGCGGGTCTCTTGAGCCACGAAGCCAAGACGGGGACTTTCGTGGTTGAGACGCAAAGCAGTTACTTGGCGACTAGCGAGCGATGCCAGCATGAATGCTCGCCCGAAACCACCTACTTCGGCGTGATAGTGGATGATGAGAAACAGAGCTTGCAAGTGAAAGATTGACGGCCTCTCGAGCTGGTTAAGGATGCGACTTTGTGCCCGTGCAATCCAGGAAGCGCTATCGTAGGAGACTCGCCCTGAGGACGGGCAGCGCAGATTGACAATGGCGCAGATGGCAAGCACGAGGCTTTCCTCCAGTCTCTCTTCCGAGTACATTCGTCGGATTGAGGACTCATGTAGGAAGCTGTACCCTGGGAGGGGATACAGGTACTGAAAGTAGAGGTCGAGAAACTTGATTAACTCTTGCTTGCTTTGAAGCGGAGAAGTACTGAAGTCAAATAAGAACGAGCCAGCGACGCAAATCAATAGAGTGACATACGTACCATTTCTGGTGACTCTCAGCGCTCGAAGCATGGTCGGTGCCCTTCCTCAAGAAGGTGCCAGCTCGCTTTGACCCCGGGTAATGGCAGTCACGATGTCGCCGTTGACAATTGTCACATTGAGGCATTTCTCCCGAGCAACGAGACTTTTGCGCGCGACATCGTAGGCATGCTCGGGCCGCTCGACGACGGTCGGGCTCATCCTCATTCCTTCGCTGGGAGTTTTCTGAACGCGACGCTGATTCCTGAAAAGAACATGTGTACTTCAACCGCTCGCAGTTGCTACAGATGTCGAATTTGCGATCACATCGAACCTAGATATGGGCTTGGCTTAGACATGGCGACATTATCAACGATATCAACGAGGGACGAGGACTGCCTACCTTACGTGTTCGACACTGGAAGCACGGATCCGAGCGCGGTCGAGTCAAAGAGGTCGCCATGAGTGTGAAAAGAGAGTCACATCGCACCTCGTAGGTGCCCTTGAGCACCAATCCACCTCAGATGCGGAGTACTTGGGGTTCTTTTGCGGATTGGTGGAGGCGATGGCGCAACCGAGAGCCACAAAGGCGTCAGTGCGCCATGGACCTGTAGACTGTAGTTGATGTGGAGAATGTGGAGACATCTGATAGGAACAGAGGCGTAGGTGTGCATTCTACTTGTATTTCACCCTTAGATGATGTCCACCGAGCATCACATCACCAATTCCTCTTTGAGCCGTTTTTCTTTAGTTCTTCCTGGAACAAAGAATACGCATCAAACATCCCCGAATTCTGAAAGTACACTTCATAATGTGCGATCATTTCCCCAAGCTTTTCCGGATGGCTGTCCGCCAGATCATGCACTTCACCCAGATCAGTAGACAGATCGTACAGCTCCCACTTTCCCTCTCCGCGTGGTGGAGGGAGAAACACGGCCTTCCAGTGACCGACACGGACAGCGGCTATGCCCAGCTGTTCCCATCCCACGACATCGGACTCGTACAGATCAACCCTCCCATCATCTGACTCCAAGAGCGGGCGCCAGGAATGTCCTCTTGGGAGGGCTACCTCTCTTCCCCGAAAATCTGTGCCTGGGTGGTGCAACCCCGCAAGATCCAGCACGGTCGGAAGCACATCCATAACCGTGGTAAACGTTTCCGTGATAGCCCCCGGCTCCATATTCATCATCGACGGATACCGCACGATGCACGGGCAGCGAATACCACCCTCTGTGGTGAAAGACTTGGTGGCTCTGCACGGTGCTGTGGCCGCCGACGCCCACTGCGGTCCATACCATACAAATGAATCGTGATTGCCCAGATTCTCCAAAGAGTTATCATAGTATTGTTCGATCACATCCCCCACTGTCTTCCCGGCCATGACCGGAATAGCCTCCAGCAGCTGTCCCTCGGCCCCATTGTCGGACATGAAAATCAGGAAGGTATCGTCCCACTCCCCGGTCGACTCTAGGTACTGTCGCACCCGCCCAATATTTTCATCCATCACATCAACCATGGCGGCATAAATCTCCATCGTCCGACTCGACATCCGCCGCTCTTCGTCAGTGAGTTCGTCCCAAGGGGTAGTCCCCAGCGTGATGATTGGAGCCGGATCGACCCCCTCTGGTACCAGACCATTTTTGATCAGGCTCTTCAATCGACGACTTCGCAGAGCAAGCGGCCCGTCGTCGTACCAGCCCTTGTACTTCCGGATTGTGTCTTGCGGCGCCTGCAACGGCCAATGCGGCGCTGTGAAGGCGAGATAAGAGAAGAACGGCTGCTCTCTCTGCATCTCTGTCCGATTTCCCAGGATCGACAATAGATTATCGGTGAAGGTATTTGAGGAATAGAAGTCTTCGGGTAAATCCGTTGCGCCGTTGATGAACTTATCGTCGCGCATCCACAGTCCCTCCTTGTCCCTGAAGATGACCCGTGGTTTCTCTGTTGTGTCGTAGAGTTGCGGTTCGTGGTTGAAGTGATTGCCGGCGCCAGGCAAGGTGGCAAAGACTTTACTGAAGCCTCGAGAGCAGGGCGCCACATCCTGAGTGAGACCAAGATGCCTGCGATTGGATCGCCATCAGTTTACGGGTCAGAATTTACCCTCCACATTACTGAATCTCGGTGACACGGTCGCATACGCACCATTTCCCGGACATGCATGTAAAGTATCCGTTATCCTGCAATATCTCAGGCAATGCGGCCACCTTGTAATTCAGGTAGCCCTCGTAGCCTGTCTGCCCATCGAAGATATGAGGAAACCGGTTCCGTCGCTCAGCCATGACCCCGAGTCCGGCGATGTGAGCGTCGGTGCCTGAAAGAAGCATCGCGCGAGTTGGCGAGCATGACGCTGCGGTGTGAAAGTCGGTCATCCGCAGACCTTCCTGTGCCAGCTGGTGGAGGTTGGGCGTGTGAATCTCCCCTCCGAAAGGGGAGGTGTCGCTAAACCCGAGGTCATCAGCAACAATGATCAGAAAATTCGGGCGCTTTGTAGATGGCATGATGATCGAAGTCGGAGGCATCTGGCTTATCGTACGCCATTAGTGCAGGCGCGGACTGTTATGTATGATGACCGTCACTGACATCTCATCTCCACTGAGATCGTGCGGGAAGGGCGGGGGTTTAGTGGCGATGTTGCCATCACTTCAAATAATGGCTTCATCCGCATCCCAATAAGCGGTCGCAAAACCACGGCTGTCGGTCGCGCTACGGCTCTCGGTCGCTTAGTGTTTTGTTTTAGTTGCATCTTGGCTTCATGGGTGGCCATCAACCGCGAACATCTTCCTCCCACGAAATCTGGGGCAACTATCGCAACATCGCTGCTCATGGTGACGAATATATCCTCAAAGCTATTAAAGATGGATGACCGCGGTAGGAATCATTCTGATGAATATATGCCAGATCACTGTGAGCTGGGATCGACCTCTCCTCAACCACACGATGTCAGCCTTTGGGAGCTTCAAGTTCAAGTCCGGTCTGGTGACCAGGAACATGCTGGTAGCATATATGCTCATTGGCTTGAGTGTTTTTAGTTATGGGTTTGACGATTCGGTATACTCAACCATTCAGACCATGGACGGTAGGGGAGCTTGAGCCTAATATCGGCAATGGTCAGCTAACCTCAACTAGCCTTTGAAAAGCAGTTCGGATCGTACAACTCTGCAACAGGCGAATACGGCTATACCACGAAGCATCTCGCCTATCTCAACTCGCTTGGTTCGCCCGCGAAAGCGTTTGGGACCGGGCTGGGCTGGTTTGTGGGCGAGTACTTCGGCCGCCGGCTCTGTTTCATCAGCATGCAATTCTTATGCATCTTGGGCATTGCGATCAGCTATACTGCCACATCCTTTGGGCAGATCCTGGCCGGTCGAATGGTAGTGCAGTGCTTCATTGGATGGGAGAGCTGGCTGGTACCCATGTTTCTGGCGGAAATCAGTCCCGCCGCCGTCCGCGGAGCCACGGTCGTGGTGTATGTGTTTGCTCATATCTTCGGCTCGTTCATTTGCTCAATCATTACCTACGAAACGGCCAAGATGGAGGGCAATGCCTCGTGGAAGATCCCAATCGGCGTGATGTGGACGTTCCCGTGCTTCATTCTACTTTGTTCGTGGTTTGTCCCGGAGAGTCCTCGCTGGCTGGTCCGAAAGAACAAGGTCGAGGCCGCCACTAAGCAGCTTCAGGACTTCTACAAGGGTCAGGAAGTGGACGTGGGTCATGAGGTGGCGGTGCTGCAAGCATCCATCGAGGTAGACGCCGAGACGAAGGGCACCTGGCTGGAGTTGCTTCAGGGAACCAATCTGGTGAGACAAGTCAACACCTTGAGACACATACCTACTGACAAGACACACAGAGGCGCACCATGATTGCAGTCATGACGGCCATCTTCAACCAAGTGACAGGGCAGAGCTTCGTGAGCCAATACGGCACTCTCTTCGTGAAGTCGCTGCACGTCATGAACCCATTTGCCTTCGCCATGATCTCCCGAGCACTGACCTGTATCGGCCCCCTAATCACCTTCTCCCTTGTAGACACCACCGGCCGTCGGCCGATCTACCTGATCGGAGGGGTCATGACAACTGCATTGCTGTTCGCCTGCGGCGGCTTGGGCACCGGGACGATTACCGACGACAAGAAGCGAGGCGTCTGCGGTGTGCTTATGATGTACGGCCTGTTCTACATCATGTCCTTTGGTTCCATGTACAGTATCTCCGTGCCGCTCTTCCCAAACAACACACTGACTCGTGCGATAGCGCCGTCATCGTAGGAGCCGAGACCCCACACCTGCGTCTTCGCGATCAGACTTCGTTCGTGGCGTGGACCATCCGCGTTGTGTGCGATTTTGCTGTCTCGTATTCCCTGCCGTATCTGCTGAACGCGCCGTATGCGAACCTGCAGTCTAAGGTTGGCTTTATCTATGGCGGCCTTTCAGCGGTCGGGGTGATCTTGGGGTACTTCTTCCTGCCCGAGTTGAAGGGTCATTCCTTGGAGGAGCTGGAAGAAATGTGGCGACGCCGCATTCCGACACGAAAATTCGCCAGTAAGTCATTTGCTCTCAGGGATGCAGAGTGCGACTAATCGAAATGTAGCCTGGAAAGCCGATGCGAGCGATAGCGAGGAGGAGGTAGCCGATTTGGAGTCGGAGCGAGAGTTGGAGAAAGACGATGTTGGAGTCACCGGTCGCTACGTCTAGTTTTTGACACTAAACGTTGATTCTTATGATAAGTAACTTCAGAAATGACGGTTCAATGACATAGAGAGGAATTCAGACATCTAAGAATAGTGCTCCAGCACGCAACTGGCTGAAATAGACACGAGGTGTAGATTTGTTGAGTTGAAGAAGATTCACAATCATTGATGATAATCATTGATTGCTATGGAGTACGCGACCGATGAGTTACGGACTGTTTCTGCCACCGCCAAAAGCTGGAGCTGTTTGGGCCAAACCTACCTAGTACTACTAGTTCCTGATCGCCCTCGTGAGGTCGCCAGCGTTCTGCCGACATAGCGGTGAAGCGGACAGTCACGTGGCACGCAGGGTGGCCGCATTACCGGTCTTTCTGCCACCGCTAAACAACCGCTTTCCCTGGCTCGCTGCGGCACGCTGTCGTCGGTCCCCCACTAATAAGTTAGTTGCCATTCACAATGCTTCATGTAAAACCTTCGTTTTCCAACTTGACTAGACCCGATCACCACTGTACAGGCAACCGATTCCGGCTCTTATCGATTGTTACCTAGACGTCATCACTGTCTATCTTCCGTTCTGCTTCGCCCAAGAGCGCGCGTTCCTCCCTCTCGGTTGCGGAGATAAAACGGCGATCCAGATAGAACACAAGCGACTTTCTTGATGGCGCCGAAGAGTTAGAAGGATCAGTCGTCTGACAAACCAAGCGATAAGCGCCACCTGTGAGCGGCGTTAGAACACCAGACACCATGAGCCCCGCCTTGCGATGCCGGCGCTCACGCTCGTAAGCGATGAGCTGCGCCGTCTTGAGACAACTCTCTCGGATACTGTCACAACTCGCACGCGAATGGTCCTTTCGATCGAAGATGGCGTGTATGACGCAGGGATAGCCAAAGTCGGCGGCCGCCTTCACCTCGTTCTTGAGTATCGAGCTTCGTTTCGTGAACTGCTCCTCCCTCGCGACCATCACCACAGCCACCTCTGGCTTCCCCGCCGCCAGGGCCGTGACAAAGGACAGACCCCAGTTCAAGGGGGGATTCAAATCCAGAAACACCCCGATAATTCCCAGCGGAGCCGGCACGCAGTCCATGATCCAGTGCAGGCGTTGGGAATTGTTCGACGCCACCGGACCTCCCCCATGATCCCACGAGTGCCACGGTGGGATGTTCGGATGCAAAGACAAAGACACTCCCGGTTCATCGAACGAGCACGAGCGCAACATGAAGTCCGGATTGTCCGTCAACGCTTGCCGAACCCATCGTTCGTTGCCCAGGAGACACAAGGGTCGGAAGGAGGAGGTGTCCGGGTGCTTGCACTTCGCCCCCTGAGAGAGCAGCAGCTCCAATAATTCCTCATTGACATTGTCAATCTTCCATCCGACGTCTTCGAAGAGCGTCCCCAGTGGATCGGGCAAATGGAGAGGGATACCGCCTTCCAGAAGCAAGCGAGTCAACTTATAATTCTGGGAACGGATGGCTCTTACCATCAGCTCATTGCGCTCCTCCCCGAAAGGTCGAGCGATTTCTTTATGCTCGTGGTGCAAAAGACTGGTTATAATCTCCTCCCACTGCGGGAAGGGCCCATAGACATACACCTCGGTAACCGCCTCCCACAGGGGGTCGTACCGTTCATCCCGACACGTGCGGATATATTCACGCGCCGCTTGGTACATGCGCTTGGATTTGGCGTCGGACAGTGGGGCGAGGCCACTTCCAGACTGTGCGCTGGTGTTCTTAGAAGCCATGGTTGGATGGTCGAAGGATGGTTGGTGGATGTTGAAGGCTGGAGAGGGAATTTGAAGATGGAGGATGGTAGATGAATCATTTTCCCGAGGAGCAAACCCCACGTATTTATACAGCAATCTATCCTTGAGGAAATCCCTAGCAGATGAGCCCAATATGTCTGGTGGTGTATTCACAATGCCTTCTCTGTCTTGTCTTTGCTGAGAGAGGGAAAAGAATCGTCCTAGCTCGAGGACATTGTTAAGTCATTGATTTCTTGTCAGAGAAAGCAGATATAACAGACAATCGTCACAGGCATGTACGCAGAGCATTATGGTACAAAGAGGTACCTAGGGACATCCAGAGCCCTCTTGCGACAATACCTCTCTGCAAAGCATAGATCCTGGGCTTTGTTGGAAAGTACACGGCAACCCGACCAGTCTTTGCGAGTCTGCAACGCTCAAGAGCTCGTGAACAATGGCATTATAGCAGCAATAGAAAGGACCGTGGGTCCATCAGTCCTTTGACCGGCATCAAAAGCCTTGATCGGCGTACATTGTTCGTTATATTTTATCCTCTCCACACAATGTTCCTGTAGACGGGATCAGGGGCAATGTCCATCATTCCGTCCAACAATCAAGAAAGGCAGCCCGGATTCTCAATCCACCTGACGGATTCAGAGTACGTCCTGTCGTGGTTGAACGACGTCAGTGAGCAGGATCCTCCACCATCGACCCCCCCGGCACTGGACCTCAGGACCTGGGACGAGACTGCCGAGGAACCTGCGCAAGAGTCCAGCAGCGCCTGTGACTACTTCGACCAGAATCCGTACTTTGCGAACGATTCGAGCAGTAGACCCCTTCCTGCGACCTTGCCCGAGCGCACTGAACACATGTCGGGTGGCGAGGAGGCGATTGACCACCAGGTTGAAGGCTTTTAGCAATCCAGAAACCACCACACGCCAGTCAACAGAGCTCATTCGCGACCAACGTCACTGACACGATGCCTCAAGATCTAGATTTCGGGACTATTCACTACATTACGGTTCGTGTTCATTGTCAGAATGCCAGTGTTTCCCTTGTTGTATCCTTTATTCTTGTGCAAGTGTCCCAACCCCCATGCGCACAGGTAGTCTAATCTACTCATTTTTTGCTCTCGTCAGATAGTCGACCCGGAAACGTAAACACCCCCAAGCGGCAGATGATGGTAGGTAGATGCTTCCGGTTCTCCTCCTGCCACGGAATGTCATCTCCACCACAGTAAGGACCGTACTCGACGCCCTCCCTATCCAACCCACCCCTTCTTCACCAGACTCCGAATGGCCACCAACCGGCCCACGCGGTCAAAGCTCATGCCGCCCAGGATCTCGAACGTCGAGACCTCGGCCTGGAAGACCTTGGCGAACCAGCTCCGGATCTCCACCGCGAGGAGCGAGTCGACCCCGCAGCTGACGATCGGGCTGCCGGGGTCGACCTCCTCCTCCGCCAGCCCGGAGAGACTGCGCACAAGCTTGGCGATGAGGGCGCGCGCGATGAGCTGCGTCGCCTCGTCTAGAGAGGCGGCCTGGCCCAGCTCGGCGCGGAAGTCGCGGGGGCGGCCGTCGTTCGTGCTGCGCTGGTGGTGGTGGTGGTGGGAGGACGACGATGGGACGCGGTGGAGGAAGCCGAATAGGGGCCGCTGCATCCAGGCGGGCTCGTCCAGCCCGCGGGCCTGCATGGCCTGCGGGGTGTTGATGCCGAAGATCGTCTGGCAGTTGGCCAGCGTCAGCGGCAACGCTGTGGGATCTGGCGCCGTCACGACGACCACCCCGTCGTCGTCGTCACTGGCATCCTCGACCAGCGGACGGCATGGCTGGCGGCTCCAGCAGCAGCAGCAGTAGTATTCCAGCAGGGCGAGGAACTTGTCGCGCGTGATCGGGACCATCGATCCGCCGCCCAGCAGCCGGTCGCGGATGGTCTGGTTCTGGGCCAGGAAGCCGTCGTCGACCATGGCGCCCAGGTCGAGGCTCACGGCCGGCAGGCCACGCGCCACGCGGTACCGCGCCAAGCTGTCCTGGAAGGTGTTGCCGGCGGCGTAGTTGGACTGGCCGCGCTGGCCGGCGACGCCGGAGACGGAGGACAGGCAGACGAAGAAGTCCAGGGGTTGGCGCTCGAGGCCGGCGTGCAGGTTCCACGATCCATCGACCTTGGGCTGCACGGCCGCCACCCACTGCGCGTGGGTCATGTCCGCGTGCAGCGTATCCTGCAGCACCATCGACGCCTGGATGCAGCCGCGGATCGGCGGCATCGTGGCGCACGCCTCCGCCAGCACGCGCGCCACCCGGCCCCCGTCGGCCAGATCGCAGACCGGGGCGCACACCTGCACGCCCGCCTGCTCCAGCTCGGCCACCAGCTGGCGCGCCTCGGGGTTCTGGTGCGGTCCCGAGCGCGAGAGAATGAGGAGGTGGCGCGCGCCGCGCTCGGCCATCCACCGTGCAATACTGCGGCCGATGCCGCCGAACCCCCCGGCCAGCACGTACGTGGCCTCGTCCCGGAAGCCCGGGGTCGCTGTGGGGTTGGTCCGGATGGTCATGGGCACCACCGCGGCCGGGGTGATCTCGATCACGGTCTTGCCGCTGGTCTTGCCGTCGGCGAGGGCTGCAAAGGCCGAGTGCACCTCATCCAGCGGCCGGACGCGCAACGGGTGGGCGGGCTGGAACACGCCTTGCTCGAAGAGCGCCATGATGGTGTGGATGCCGCGCTCAGCCTGCTCCGGCCGCTCGAGCATCCAGGTCGAGCCGTCGAAGGCCGAGAAGCTGACGCCGCGGTTGAAGGGGAGCATGGGGAGGCGGGCGTTGTCCAGGATATCCCGCTTGCCGATTTCGACGAAGCGGCCGTACGGCGCCAGGCAGTCCCACGAGGCCAGCAGACTCTCGCCGGACAAGGAGTTGAGGACCAGATCCACGCCGCGGCCGGCCGTGGCCGTCTGGACGCCCTGCACGAAGCCCACGTCGCGGCTGTAGAAGATGTGGTGCTCGGGGATGGCGTACGTGCGCATCAGGAGATCGCGCTTGGCCTCCGAGCTCACCGTCACGTAGACCTGCGCCCCGAGGTGCTGGCTGATCTGGATGGCGGCCTGGCCGGTGCCGCCGGCACCGGCGTGGATCAGCACGCTCTCGCCGCGGGTCAGATGCCCGATCTGCACCAGGCTCGTCCAGGCCGTGACGAACTGGGTCGGGATGGCCGCCGCGGTCGTGAAGCTCATCGCCGCCGGCAGCCGACACACGCACTGCACCTTGCTGCGGGCGTAGGTCTTGAACGCCTCCACCGTCGACATGCAGACGCGGTCCCCGACCTGCACCTTGTCGGGCGAGCAGGCCGCGCCCACGCGCGTCACGACGCCCGCGCACTCGTTGCCCAGGGTGTCGGCGGGCACGCGGCCCAGCGCGATCAGGCAGTCCTTGAAGTTCAAGCCCACCGCGTGGACCAGGATCTCGACCTCGTCCGCCGCCAGCGGCACCGCGTCGCGGTCCTCGTCTGACACGAACCGCAGCGACTCCAGGAGCCCCGGGGTCTGCGTCGTGAGTTTCAGCGGGCCAGGCGCCTCCTGCCACGCCCGGTCCTCGGAGGTCTCCGGGTGGAGGGTGTGATGCATGGCTTCCTGACAGGGTCGGTCTTGCTGGAGGCGGGCGATGTGGAACAGGCCGCCGCCTTCTGCGCGCTGCTCGTACTCCATCTCGAATGTCTCCGAGGTGTCGTCGAGTAGCTGTTGGACAGTTTTTAGTAGTGCCTGGAGTTGCACCTCGGAGAGAGTCTTGGTGGTGGTGGTGGTGGTGGTGGTTTGCTCTCTTGTCAACCCGAGGCGCAGAAACCGATGCCCTTCCTCTTCGGCATGGATGACCCGCGCCAGCCCCGTGACCATGTTATATGCCGGATCTGAGGAGCCATCATCCACCGTATGACTGACCCAGACCAGATTCCGACTGTGCCGGATGACCCGCTGGAGCGCGGAAAAGTCCGCCGGGGTCATGTTGCGCAGGAACGGTCGATCCAGCTCCCAATCGACGGTCACGATGGTGAGGCTCGTGTCGGGAGCCACCTGGTCCATTGGGGTGATCTGGCTGGGGACTCCCAGCCGATGCAGGTACTTCTGGATGGCAATGGCGGCGGGAGCAGCACCTTGCGCTTGCTCGTGGGAAGTGTGCGTCGGATGAGACGCGATATGCACCAACGGCAGCGCAGCACCGGCACCGGCACCAGCACCAGCACCGAGCTCGCGGAGCAGGGGGGCAGCTCCGCCGTTATCGACGTCGAGCGGGGCCTGCCGGCTGCTGACGAGGACGCTGAGTTCATGGCAGGCGTCGCTGGCAGAATCGCGGAATTCTTGCTCAACGCCGGTGAAGCCCGTCTCGTGGAGGAGAGTATCCCATGTGGATCGGGACACACACGGCCCCTCGCGGCGTTCGGGCTCGGAGCTGAGCCACCAGCCCGGCAAGAGGCCCATGATGAAGCCACTCCGGCCCAGGGCCGGGGCGGTGATCTCGAAGAGGATTAACTTGCCGCCGGGACGGAGCAAGTCGCGCACCCTCTGCAGCGTGGCCCGGAGGTCTGTGGTGGCGTGCAGCACATTGGCCGCGACCACGACGTCGTAGGAGGCCGGGGTATATCCCTGGCTCGCCATGTCGGCATCTTCGATATCCAGCCGCCGGAAGAGCAGGTTGGGGTACTTCTCGAAGCGGGTCTTGGCGGCGTCGAAGAAGGCCTCCGAGATGTCCGAGTACGTGTACTCGCGATACAGCGGGCCGGTGTCATCGTGTTGCTCTGTTGGCCCCCCCAGCGAGCGCAGCACGGCGGCGGTGGTGCCCCCGGTGCCGGCTCCGATCTCCAGGTAGCGGGCGTTGGGATGCTTGTGCGAGTACAGCTGGAGGTATTGGTCCAGCTGGGCAAAGCTTGCGGTCTCACTGCCGCTCAGTTCAGCATAGAGAGAATCCAACAACGACGACCCGAACAGCAGCTCTAAGGGGTCGACTTGCCCGACCACCATCTGTTCCAGATGCCGGGCGACGGCCACATGGACTCGACCTTCCGCGTTGACCTGCTCGAGCTGGTCCATCAGGGCGTTACGGTACTCGAGGTCCCCCGCCAAGGTCGGCCAGCACGCCTCCCAATGCGGCGTGTCGCCAGTCTCGACTCGCCGGACCTGGCTCCGAGCCCAGTCCATGTATTTCCCCAAGTGGGGTTTCGGAGCGGTCACCACTGATGATGATGATGATGATGATGATGTGATCTGAGACAGCATGGAGTAATGAAGAAAGGCCAAATCGCGATAGAAGGCCGCGGGATCCGCGTTCCGAGCGTTGGAGCCCTCATGCAATGTTGAAATGCTGCTGCTACACCACTGAGCCAGCTGGGGCCCCGTCATGAGGTCCAGATCGGGCTTCCAGACCAGGTTCCAGGCCCGGTCCTGCTCACCCTGGTCGTCCTCAGTCAACCGCTGAGCCATGTCATCGACGATCGTCAGCCGAACCCCTTCCAGCTCCGCCAACAGACGACCCCGATCATGACTCAAGGCATGGGCTTGCACTTCACACCCACGACGGTCGGTGGCCACGATCTCCGCAACGGCGTCCAGCGTGTTTTTGGACTCTGTCTGCGAGGAGGACAAGGACGACGACGACGACGACGACGACGAGCCCAGCCCCGAAGCGGCAATCCAAACCCGACGAATCCTCGACGGAATGGCCGTGGAGACTCCGCGCGCCGGGTCCTGCGTCAGCGCCACCATCGGCATGTGCAGCAACGCGTCGAGCGTGCAGGGATGCACCACATACCGCGCCTCATCCTCGTCCCGAGACGAATGCACCCCGACGACGGCGCGACACGCCGCGCCCCCGGCCCACTGCGCCTCGACCAGGGTGCGGAAGGTCGGCCCGAATTCCAGGCCGTACTGAGCGAGCCGCTCATAGAAGGCCGGCATCTCCAGCCTCCTGGAGGAGCCCACCCCCTCACCCTCAAGCGCCGCGTGCCGCTCCTGCAGGCTCTGGAGCCGGGCCTCCGCGGCGCGCTGGGTGCCAATCCCGGACGGGGCGACGCCGAAATCGACGCGGATAGCACCGCTGCAGATCTCCTCCCACTCGCCCCCCTCGAGGTACGCGCACAGCCGGAAATCCGACCACCAGCCGCGGTGGTCTCGCCCGCCGCCGCCGCCAGGGGCCCCTCCACCCGGTTGACGGCGCAGGGAGAATTGCACCTCCACGCCCCGCTCGTGGTCGGGAATGACCAGCGCGGTGCTGAGGCTGATATCGCGGAGCTCATAGCCGAGGATCGCTCGGTCGTCGGCGAGGTGCGGTCCCTGTTGCTGCACCTGATGCACCTGCTGCTGCATGGCCTCGACGGCCATCGCCATCATGCCGGCGGCCGGGAAGAGGACGGTGCCATTGATGCGATGGTCTTCAATCCACGGATGTTCGGAGCGTTTGAGGAAGTTGCCCCAGCGCGCGTCCAGCGGGTTCCAGTCCACCGCGGCCTCGCCAAGCAACTTCGACCGCGGCTTGTTGCGGAGCCGATGGTTGCGGCTCGTCCGACTTTCATGGAAGTAGCTCCGGGAGTGATCCCAGGCGTATGGGGGCAGGTCGGCCAGCGAGACCAGTGCAGAAGGCGGCATCGCCCTTCCTTCTTCTTCTTCCTCCTCCTCCTGTCTCCGATTGGAAGATTCGTGGTTCACTCGGGTCCAATCAATCGGCAACCCCAAGCACCACAGATGGCCCACTGCCCGGAGGAGAGAGTTCACCCCGGCCTGGCCTCGCTGCAGCGGAGCCAAGTAGCTCATTGTCTGGTCCTGCGCCTGGAGAATCTCCTGGATGGGACCGCGCAGGGCCCCGTGGGGACCGATCTCCAGACAGGAGGTGATGTCCATCAGGAGCCGGTGGCTGCCGTCCAGCTTCTTGACGACCCCTCGCTTGCTCAGCAGACTCTGGAAGGCCTGGACGAAGCGAACGGGCCGCACCAGGTTGCTCGCCCAGTAGCTGCCCTCGCGCAACGTCTGGGCGGGGACCCGCTGGCCCGAGACGGTCGAGACCATGATGACCCTGCTGCTACTGCTGTTGCTGCTACTGTACTCCTCCCCGGGCTCAACCTCGCCAATGGCCTCCGCGTACGCATCCGCCACCGAGTGCAAGTGGTGGGAGTGGTAGGCGACCCCGGTCCGCAGCTTGCGGGCGAAGATCCCCGCGGCGTCGAGGACGACCTTGAGGGCGTCAATGGCGGCCTCATCCCCGGACAGCGTCACGTTGGTCGGACTGTTGAAGCACGCGATGCTGACACTCTGCGACCGGGCCAAGTACGGGGCCGCGTCGGCCGGGGAGAGTCCCACGGCCAGCATCGCGCCGGGAATGGTCGATGCATCGCGCAGTTTCGCGGACACCAGCGAGCCCCGCAAATAGGCGATCTTCCAAGCGCTGCGCGCGGAGATGGCGCCACAGCAGTATCTGCCAAAGAAGGAAGAGGTGAGCACTGTCTGCAGGAAAAGGGGGGGCGAGGGGGGAAGTTAGGGCTCGCTTACGCAGCAGCAATCTCTCCCGACGAGTGTCCAATCACGACGCTGCACGTGACATCAAAGCTGCGCAGCAAATCCACCAACGCGACTTGAACTACAGTGCAAAGCACCTGGCTGATGCGCGGCTCGTCGATCCGACTCGCCTCCTTTGGCTTGGCCAGTTCATCTACCAATGCAAGAAACCATTATTGAGCGACGCTCTTTCATCCCGAATGAAGGGGGGGGGGGGGGGGGGGGGGGAGGGAGCTTTTTTTTTTTTTTTTTTTTTTTTTTTTTTTTTTTTTTTTTTTTTTTTTTTTTTTTTTTTTTTTTTTTTTTTTTTTTTTTTTTTTTTCCGCCTCCTCCAACCGCCGACGAAAGGTCGAGTATACCGCAAGATCGGCGCCCATCTGCGCCCACTGCGCGCCCTGCCCGGTGAAGACGAACGCGATCTTGGGCGGCGTCGTCGGCGACTTCACCGCCGGCGACACCATCGTCCCAAGCTCCTGCAGCGGCACGTCTGAGGGCACGACCGCGCACGCTCGCCAGGGGAGCCAGGTCCGGCGGTGGGCGAGCGTGTAGGCCAGCGCCTCGGAGAATTCGGCGGACGGGGCAGTCGTCGTCGCGCCCCCGCTGCGGGACCGGAAATACTCGGTCAGGCTGGTGACAGTGCGCGTGATGCCTGCTTTGTCCGACGACGACAGCGGCAGCAACCGGACTCGCTTCGAGTGCGGCATTACCACCGACAACTCTCCGCGGGATTGGGATTGGTCGCGCAAGACGTGGACGGGGACAATGGCCTGCGGCGGGGCGGAGGAGGGATCCATCGTGCGCGGTCGATATGCCACGCCGTCCAGCTGGTGCTCGAGGAGGAAGTGATATGCATCATCCAGCACCGCGTGGGCATTGGAGCCTCCAAACCCGAAGGAATTGACGGAAATTCGTCGGAGGCCGGGACGAGGCCAAGGGATTCCGGACCGGAGGAACTGCACATTTCACACACACATCACCGTTAGCCACATGGCAAATTGGGCCAAGAGCGGGGAGGGGAGGGGGAGGGGGTGCTTCTCAACCTGAAGTCGCAGCTGAGCCTCGTCGATCATGGAATTGACGTTCTGTAAATCGGCGATCGCGGGGATCCACCCTCGCTCAAGCATGGCAATGGCCTTGATCACCCCCGCGATGCCGCTGGATCCTTCCAAATGGCCGATATTGGCTTTGACGGAGCCGCTAGAGACGCAAGGCCGGCACGCCACGAGTTAGATCCCAACTCTCCGGTAAAAAAAATGTGGGAAAAAAAAAAAAAAGAAAAAAAAGAAAACATACACAAAAAGCCTCTCATCCGTACGCCGACTATCTCTGAAGCTCGCGCCGAGCGCCTCTGCCTCAATAGGATCGCCAGCGGGGGTGCCCGTGCCATGGGCCTCCACATACAGCGTGCGGGCCTTATCCAGCCCGGCGCGCGCGTAGCAGTCATTGATCAGAGCCTCCTGGGCGCTCTTGCTGGGCTGGGTGATGCCCGGGGTGTACCCGTTCTGGTTGCACGCGGTGGCGCGCACCACGGCGCGAATGGTGTCGCCATCGCGCACCGCGCAACTCAGCCGCTTCAGGACCAGCATGGCCACGCCTTCCCCGCGGCCGTATCCGTTGCCGCGGGCATCGAAGCTGTAGCTTCGGCTGTCCGGGGACAGCATGCTCATTTCGGAGAGGATGTGGAACAGATCCGGGGCCAGGATCAGATTGGCACCCCCGGCCAGGCACTTTTGTATGGGGATCCTCGTCAGCCCGGAAGACAACACACACAAAAACAGAAACTTACCATGTCAGTCTGCCCCGTCCGCAGCGCCTGGCAGGCCAGGTCCAGCGCGACCAGGCTGCTGGAGCAGGCGGTGTCCACGTTGATACTCGGTCCCATGAAGTTGTAGAACCAGCTGACCCGGTTCGCGTTCAGCGTCGTGGTGATCCCCGTGGCCGCGTACGGCGCGCTGTCGCGCACATCTTTCCGATAGAGTTCCTTGTAGTCGTCGGTGAAGCAGCCGACATACACGGAGGTGTTGGAGCCGGCGATCCTCGGAATCGGGATTCCCGCTATACCACCCACAAGAGCCACCAGGTTATTATCTTTGTTTTGTCATATGATCCAGAGATTCTGGATGGAGCGTACCATACAGTACAGCACATCACAGCACAGTACAGCACAGCACAGTACAGTACAGCACAGCACAGCACAGCACAGCACAGTCTTATACGGGGGTTAGCTTACCATTCTCCAAGGCGACATAACTGGTCTCGAGCAGCAGTCGCTGTTGCGGGTCCATGGAGGCGGCCTCCACGGCGGAGATGCCGAAGAAGGGAGCATCAAAGGCTGTAATGTCCTCGGAGAGGAAATGCCCGCCCTTCACCGTCGGGGACGAGGAGGCGGCCTTGGGCCAGTAGGCGCCCGTGACATCTAGACGGTCCGGGGGGAATTCTTGCGACACACACCGGGCGTTCGTGATCAGATCGAAGAAGCGATCTAGATCAGTGGCTCCGGCCGGGAACCGCAGTGATAGACCTACAATGGCGATGGGCTCTAGGGTGTCCTTGTCGTTGTGTGGTTTGTCGAAGGAGGAGGAGGAGGAGGAGGAGGAGGAGGAGGAAAAGGAGGCCATTGTGGGAGGAATGGGAGGGAGTTTCAAGCAAAACGAAGACACACACAAATACACACAACTACACACATCTAAAACTCATGTAGGGGCTTCATTCTTATATCTGTTATCGCTGACAGTAGTAGTTGTGTTGTGGAGTGGTATGTATGTCTTCAGCCTCATACTTTGCAGCTGCTTACGGCACTGTAATTGCCACAGTTGCCACGCACCCCTCCCCAATCTGACTGCAAGAAACCCTGAAGGAGCAACAAGCCTCAGGAGTCGAGTCCAAGCTCCAATCTCCCCCAAAAGAGCCTAAGGATGAATTGGCGTGCGGGGTTCTGTGAACATGAATAGTATTGTATAAACATACTAACCAATTGGATCCATAAGCAAATCGCCCCCAAAATTTAATGTAATTGCCAAAAGTACCCCCCCCCCCCACCGATCGACTCTCATAGCCGCTAACTACTAGTAAATGTAACTACTCCTCTTATCCCACCAATCCACAAGCCCCCCTCTGCTCCACTTACTCCCTTGCTCCCTCTCGGCTAAATGCAATGCTGAAAGCTAATGCAATGTGACAGCCAAGTGAATGGTTTGGCGAATGGCCCGAACGGCCCCCAACAGCGAGGCCCGCGATCTCGACCCGGGGATCTCATGGCCCCCCTCATGCACAAACACCGCCCGCCACTCCGGCCGACACAGCTGGCTCAAGACGACGCTGGTGCCTGGATAGCTGGTGTCATTTTGGCCCCAGATGTGCGCGGTGGGCAGATGCAACAAAACCGGTAGTGCGGCTGGTGCTGCTGCTGCTGCTGCTGCTGCTGCTGCGCCCTCGCTGTTGTCCGCTGCCGCTTCCGCAATCGGGGTCAACGCCGGCCCTAAGGCTGGTGAGGACGAGGATGGGGCGGATGACCATTGATAGGGAATCCCGCCGGAGAGGAAGATCGCGCATCGGATGCTGCGCGCTCCCGGGAAGGATGAAGAGGAAGAGGAAGAGGAAGAGCCGGCGGCCGCAATCAAGAAAGACGCCGCCAACTGCGCCCCTTGCGAGAACGCCAGGATGCCGTCAAAGGGCCCCTCGGTAACGAGGAAGGCTTCGAGCTGCTCGAGGGCGGCCGTGTAGGTGGATGGTCGGCTGGGGTCAAAGTACGCGTACCCCTCATCGCTTTCCTCCGGGAAATAGGGGGCGATGGCTGTGTTCTCAGAGCGTTCAATTAGCCAAGTAAGCCCAGTCAGACTGTTGGTCTGCCTTGTCTGGTGGCTGCGTGATAGCTTAATGGCCCCCAAATCTGCAGTGTCAGCAGGAACTAGTCCACGTACCAGGATCAATAGGGCAGGGGAGTGTGCCTTCGGCGTAGTCGAAGGTATGCGAATCGCCGAGCTCATGTCGCAGGGTCGCTAGAGAATCACAACAGTGAGTGAGTTTTTTTTTTCATCCGGCTTTTTCATCGAGCATTCACTGACCGGTTTGAACTTGGAGGATCTTTTTTCTTTGTTAGTTCAAGGAACTCAGAGTGAGTTATTTGTTAACTTACCCGGCTGTTGGTTCCCAGTCCGTGCAAGCAGAGGAAATGCATGATGGTGAACAATAAGTCGAATTGGTCAGTTTCTTGGCTGTAAGTATCGTGATGGATAATGTGGGCTTGAACAATAAACAAGAGAGAGAGAGGTCGGGGAATCGATCGATTAGAAATACGGTGTCTGCCGGGATGTCTCTGGAGGCTGACGAGGGGGACTAAGTGGGGGGGGG